AAAATGGGCTGAAAAAGCCTCAAAAATGGGCTGTAAAAAGCCTCAAAAATGGGCTGTAAAAAGTCTCGAAAATGGGCTGAAAAAAGCCTCGAAATGAGTGGAAAAAGGCCTCAAAAATGGGTGGAAAAAAAGCCTAAAAACGGGCTGAAAAAATCCCCCCAAAATGGCTGAAAATGTGGCACGCAGAGGCCAAAGTCATTTTTGTTGTTTTTCCCCTCTTATAAATTTAGGTGCATCTTATAGTCAGGCATGTCTTATAATCCGAAAAATACAGCAGCTTTTTTCAAAGTGCGGTTGTAACTTTGAAGGGTCACTAAATCATCTTCTTTTAATAACCCATAATAACCCATAATCCCTTGCCGGGGCGGGGGGTGAAGTCTGGGCAACTGAATGAAACTGAGTGTTTGCTGGCTGGATGTTGGGGGGGGGGGCTACGTTTTGCAAGATATATATTGGAGGGGGGGGGGAGATTTAGGATTTGGGCTGCAAGAGTCCTACATGAATAAATTAAGAGCTTTGCCAATGATGCCCCCTCCCTTCTCTAAATTTTGCAGGCTGATGGTTCAAGAGTGCTATGCAGAAACTGGATGCTTTGGCTGTGCTGTTCCTCGTCCCCCTAGGGATGGTCGAAGCCGGAGGTCAGTGGGGAAGCCTTTGGGAAGTCTCCTGTGGGTGGAGCCGGAAGGAAAAGTGGGCAGGGCTCCATTGTCCTGGTGGGCGGGGGGGGGTGTCTAAATTCACCCCCTTTTCTCCATCTCCTGCCCATTTTTGCCCGCTCTCTAGCACGCCAGCCCTGCAGTCCTAAACTCCTTGGCGAAAATGCCATGGTGTGCGTTTGCAACGCAACGTACTGCGATACGGTGGACCCGCTCTCCCTCCCGGAGGTCGGCAACTTTGTCAAGTACACAACCAGCAAGGAGGGACAACGCTTGGAGCGGAGTGAAGGGCAAATAGGAAATGCCAGCTCAAGAACTTCAGGTAAACCTTTGGGAAAGAGGGGGGTTGGACTAGATGACCTCCAAGGGTCCCTTTCCAACTCAGTCATGTTGTTCCTTGTGTTCATTCTTGTCTCTCAGGTGGGATATTCTACACCTACGACCCCTCCGTTCAGCACCAATACGTCAAAGGCTTCGGCGGGGCGCTCACCGACTCAGCGGCCATCAACATCCTGCGTTTGTCTTACGGAGCCCAAAACCACCTTCTCCGCTCTTATTTCTCGGACGAAGGTGAGGAAATTGGGAATGACCGCTTGGTGAAATCTAGCAGCTCGGGGAAAGCTAGCACCCTGAGGCTCTTGTTCTGAGCTAGGCTCACGTATAAAGCATCAATCACAATCGTAGTCCCCCGAACCCTCTTTTATTTATTCATACGGCCGCAGCGCTTCACAAACAGCCTGTGAAGATTCGGGCAGATGTCTGCTGGAGTTGCCACAGCCTTTCAAAGGAATGTTGATAAACGCCCACCTTTATCTCCCTGGGAAATGTGGCCAGAGACCTCATGGCCCAATGCAGAGCAAGGCCAAACTTAGCACAGAGTCCAACAGAACTTCTCAAAGCTTGAACCCACCAGACGAACTAATTGCTTCCTGCAGAAGCTCCCCTCCCATTCGCTCCTCTTGTATGTCTTATGGGAGGGGTCATTCGTCTCCAAGCCTTACTCCCAAGTCGGCCCTGTTTTCTTAA